AGCCAATTGTTAGCTCATGGTTATAGTCCCAAAAATCTCAAAATGGACAGCATGGTACTGTTATTGGCCCAGGATGCCCTCTGAATGCCCTTCTCTAACTTTATGGACGATTTATTCCTTCGTTAAAAAGGTAGCCTTTATTAAAGAGGCTGCTTGCTGTTAGCTAAAAGACAGGATCCTAGCATTTTGTTCTTTCTAGATGGGATCTGCACCTTCCAGTCTTCTGGCTTATAGATGTTGGAAGCTTTGTACTAAGGCCTGGCCTCAGTATGCCTTGTGTGATCAAGAGAAGTGGCCTTCACAGGGTTCCTTAAATTACAATACCATACTCCAATTAGATCTTTTCTATAAAAGGGAAAAAGTGAACTGAGGTCCCCTATACAAATTTTCTTTCATCTCAGATTAGCTCCACAATTGCTATTTAGATACTCAAATGCTGGCCATTCTTTGTAAGCCACAGGATAAACATGGAAAGGAGGACCAGAAAAGCCCCTTATCAATGACAAGGCACACCCCTACTGCTCCACCCTCTGCCCTACCTTTTAAGCCACCCCAATATTCAAAACGTCCTCTTAGTGGAAGAAAGTAATTTAACCTAGACCAGATCCCTCATTCTTCAAGTGAGGAAACTGAGGCCCAGAATGGTTCAGAGACCTGCTCTTCAGAGTATCAGGTGTCAATGTGAAATAACTACTTTGTTTTACAACAATGCCCTGAAGAAAATCCCTTTACCTTTCTGTAGCATCTTAAGGATTCTATCAGAAAGCATACCACAGTGGACCCAGAGTCATAGGTGAGAGAGGTTCTCCTCAAAGATAAATTTCTAACACATCAGCCCCAGATACTCGTAAAAAACTCAAAGGCTGTGGCTGAAGGAGAAAAGTCATTGAACCAAGTAATACAGCTAGCCATGTCTGTATTTATAGCTATGTCTGTATGTCCCCGACCTTACTAACAGGAGAGAAAAAGATAAGAGATACCATGGCCTCATTGCTGCTCTCAGAGAGGGCCCCACGTGATGGGGCGTGTATCCTGAACTTGCTACCATGTGGACAGGAGAGGCACTTCTGCAGAGAATGCTTAAAGGGGGACAGCCTGGGAGACAGCCCTACCCCCAACTGGGACCCTGCCCTCTCTGCAAAGGTAACCACCGGAGGTCTAAGTGCCCCAGCCTCCAGATGGAAGGCGAGGTGCCACCTCCTATGGATTGATGGGTCCCAGCCCCCTGTCCATGCTCCACTTCTTGGCATCAATGTTGAGGAGCTTCGGGGTAGCCATGATGGTAGAAAAACAAATGATCATTTTCCTCCTAGACAGTGGAGCTCATTTCTCTGTCTTACCTTTCTCTCCCGGTCCCCAGTCCAATGACAGAAGTTATCATTTGGGGCAAATCTGGCTAGCCCCTAGAGCGCTAGTTTACCTGGGCTCTGTGCTGCTCTAGGGGAGACCTCCTCTTCTGTCACCCTTTCCTCATAGTTCCTGAAACTCCAGTGACTCTGCTGGGATGGGATTTAATATCTCAATTAAAAGCTCAAATTCTCCACCCCCCAGGCAGCTATCTCTGCTGCCCCCTCCTTCAGGAACAAATAGATTCCACAGTGTGGACTGATGAGATGAGTTTAGGGTGATCCAGGATGGCCCTCCCTATTCAAATACAACTCAAAAATCCCTCACAGTTTCCACATCCAAAACAATATCCCCTCAAACCTGAGGGACGATGAGGCCTTAAGCCTAACATAAATTCCTTAAAACAATAAGGGCTACTAATTAGTTGTTCCAGCCCCTATAATAAATTCAAAATTCTTATAAAAGTTAATTTTAAAATACAAGTTACAAAGTAAACAACTGGAAAGGATATAGATGGGTAGTGAATGTATTTTTTGAGAAGTTAAAGGAAAAAGGAATTTTTTTGGATGAGAAAGGATTTTGTAGAGAAGGGTTTGTCCTAAAGATTGTTTCAAATATGGAGAGGAGGGATAAGGACAAACCATCAGAGGGTTTAGTATGTTGTATGAAGGTCTGAGTAAGTTTTAAAAGTGTATAATAAAAAGCTTTGGTGTGTGATAAAGTTAAAGTTGACTATAATCTAAGAGCTGCCAAAAAGATTTTTAGGGTCATGTCAAACTAAAATCAAATTCTCTATGTCTATAAAATAATAAGGTTATCTTAATATTGTTCTGCTCTTAGTAACTTCTACAGAAAACTATTACAGGGAAAGATTTGATTAAAGAAATTATTTGTGTTTTCTGCTGATCTTGTCAAGCTTTAAGTACTACTAAATCAGAGTTCATTTACATACTTGCTTATGTGTCTTAAATGACCACCTTGTAACAGTGTTGTGCCTATACTTTATCTAGATACAAACATTTACAAAGTTACATAAAAAAATGAGCTAGAGCTCTCTTTTATCCAAGAGTGTTACATTTAAATCCTGACAGCCCCTGCCTCCCACAGGTCACCTACCTAAGTGTGGCCTTAAAGGGACAGACTCACTCCCTGAGTCATGAGTATATCAACCCAAACTTCTGTTTCCCTCCCCCCAAGAAAGCTTAGAGCTTTCTTGGGAGTTACAGGATTTTGCAGAATCTGTATCCCTAGATATTCACTCCTTTAGCAGACACCTTTTATGCTCCTAATAAACTTGCCTCCAACAGACTCTGCTCCTCTGGCTGACTACCTACCTTATCTTAACCTCCTCGGGGAACTTCTCAGAGAGCATGCAGACAAGATCCTGCCCCATCCTATAACAATTTCTGTTAAACCAGGGGATCTTGTTCTCCTAAAGGATCTTCTACCCTCTCCATTGGGACTTTGGTGGACCAGCCCTCATCTGGTCATTCTCACAACACCCACTGCTGTCAAGCTCAATGGGATCCCCCAGTGGCAGCACCTCTTAAGGAATGGACTTTTGGAATACTCTAGGGAACAATATTTCACAGTGGTTCTCCTGGCCAATGCCCATCCTAATGCCTATGTTTCTTGCTCTCCTGTTCTTAAGCTTCCTTCCTTGTATCATAACCAGTTGTACCTCCAGGGTTATCAACCTCTCCAAAACCGTACAGAGGACTGCTATGAGGGCCCCCACCAGGATGCAGGAGTCTGAGGATCTTGCCCTATACAGCAGCCCCTGCCAGCAGGAAGCAGCTAAGAGGCTGATGCTTCACCCCAATTCCCAATCCTCAGCCTCTACCCCCATCATTATTAAAGAAAAAATGGGGGAATGATAGAGTAATAATGTCGCCATTTTGTGAATTGGCCAAAATGGCAGCCCTGCCCCTTAACAAAAATTCCCGAGCTCTAAGACAGCCCCACCCCTACCAGAGACTATCATGCATGTGCTAACTTCCTCAACCTCCCCCTTCTATAAAAGCCATGCCTGGCCCAGAGTCTGTGCTGTGCCATCTTTCCCCAGCCAGCCTGGTGGTTTGAGCCTGCCATTAAACTTTGCTTTTGGACGTGAGACTTTTCTTGTGAGCTTTCTTTGTGAGCAGTGTTTTTCCTAACACACAGCACATGCACACACAGGCACACACACACACACACACACACACACACACACACACACACACACTTTTAAGGGGAAACAAAAGGCCAGTGGGCACAAACAAAAGCCTGGGACAGTTACTTTCGAGGAACAGTCAGTACACCTCACTTTCAGTTTTGAGCATAATGTATGGTTCTTTCTATGTAATAGAGAAGTCCAGGCAAAAAGTGACTGACAACCACATACAATGACTCTTAAAACAGTAAAGCATCACTTTACCTAAATTTAAAATTGTAATCTTGTCTAACATTAACAGCATGAATCATAAATGATTCATTAAAGTCATTTTTCCCTCATTGATTTGGTAAAGGCTACTGCTTTGTAAGTGAGAAAAAAAAATGATTCTTGAGATGATCCTGAAGACGGAAAGATTGAAAAACATTAGTCCCTGCTTGAAACACAGGGCTACAATCAGAATTTGTGGAGATGGTTCAAGCTCTTTTTATTTCCTGCTTTTCACTTCTAACATTCATCCTTCGTTTGGCATTAGCACCATCAGGCCTGATGAAAACAGTAACTTACACATAATTACTAAAATTGTGCTGTGCAGTTTGGTAGCCAATAGCCAGATACAGCTTTTGGGTATTTGAAATGTGCCTCATCCCAAGTAAAAGACAACTAACATGAAAAAAAGAAAATATTCATATTTTTACACTAATTACATGTTGAAATGATACCTTTCGGACGTAAGTTGAATGTATTAAAATTTATTTCACTTGTTTCTTTTGATTCGTTTATGTGGCTTCTGGGACATTTATAATTACACGAGTGGCTTGCATTTGCCTCTCGCGTTATATTTTTACTGGACAGCACGGGCAGAAGATGAAAATGGGGGGGGGGGATGACCACAGTAAAACAAAGTGCATTTTCTCAAAACTTCTGGAGAGGAAGAGGAAAGGGAAGGGATTGGAGCTTGGTGACGGTAGGTGTGCCCGATGGTGATACCTAGCTCCTGGAGGGAAGTAGAGGGAGGCGGGTTTCGGTTCTGCTTCCACCCCCTCCCCCCAGCTCGCACAGCAGATGGCCGCGCCGGTCCCAGGCCCGCGTTTCCCACCAGCCCGCGGGGCCGGGCCGGAGCAGGGCTATTGAACACACCTGCGTGCCCAGCGAGGTGCGCGTCCGCGAACCCTGCCGCCGGACTCTCGCCCCCTCCCCCCGGATTTTTATTTTCTTGGCATCAACCGTCGGTCTTGCACTTCTCTCTCCTGAGCACCGTCGAGTAGGTGGGACCCGCCGGGGGTAGGCGTTCGCCCACTTTCCCCCCGAGCCTGGCCCTGGGAGCCGGGATGACCGAGTCCCGCTCGCAGAGCGGCCTGCTGGGCCGCGGCCGCCGGCCATCCGCGAACTCGAGGAGCCGCGGCGGGGGAGGCGGGCAGGCGCGGCCGGGGCCTCCGGGCCGCGGGGGGCCGCTGTGACCGGCCGTGGCCTCCTGCCGCGCCGCGGGCGGGGGAGCGGGGTTTGGGTAGAGAGTCAGAAAGCCGAGGGGGACCGAGGGGGGCGGCGCTGTGGTGCGGCGGGGGCTCTGGCTGCCGGCCGCCCCACCCGAAGCGCCGCGGAGCGGAGCAGGGCCCGCCGCCCTCCTCCTCCATGAGGCGTGAGTGAGGTGCAGCGGCGAGACCGGCCCTCGGCGCCTCCCCCCGCGTCCTACCCGGCAGCGGCCCCCGGAGGAGGAGGAGGAGGAGCATGTCGGACGGTTTCGATCGGGCTCCAGGTGCTGGTCGGGGCCGGAGCCGGGGCCTGGGCCGCGGAGGGGGCGGGCCTGAGGGCGGCGGTTTCCCGAACGGAGCGGGGCCTGCGGAGCGGTCGCGGCACCAGCCGCCGCCGCAGCCCAAAGCCCCGGGCTTCCTGCAGCCGCCGCCGCTGCGCCAGCCCAGGACGGCCCCGCCGCCAGGGGCCCAGAGCGAGGTCCCCGCCGGTCCCGAGCGGCCTCCCCGGTCCGGGGCGCTCCCAGGTACGGAGCAGCTCGGGAGGACCCGGTCTTCCTGGGCCAACGCTTCCCGCGCGGCCTCCGAGCGTGCCGGGCCCGGCGCGCCGCGTCCCCGGCTCCCCGAGAGCCTTCCCCGCGGGGCCCGCTGGGTACGGCCCGGACCCGGACCCGGGTTTGGAAGGTGGCTGCTGGAATCCTTTGTGCGCCCGGCTGGGGGAGGGGCCGCGCGCGGCCGCCGAGTTCTGCGGTCCCGGGAGGAAGTGAGATCGCCTCCCTGTCCCCTGCGGGGCCGCGGGCACAGGCCCGCGCCACCAACTCCTTAGGAAGGGGCGGGGGAGGGGGTGTCAAGCATTCATTTAGGAGGCAGGTGCGTTCACCCAGGAGCTAAGCAGGTCTATTGTTCCTTTTTGCAGCTCTCTGTACCCAGCTCGTCGAGAATCTAAATTTTGTATTTAACTGTTAAAATCCCGTGGTTCTCAGATGGTTTTTACAAAGAAATGAATACATCTGACCCTGGTGTTTTCTTTCTCAGAACAACCTCGGCTCCTGAGAGCTCCATCTAATTCACAGGACAAAATCCCACCGCAAAACTCGGAGTCAGCAATGGCTAAGCCCCAGGTGGTTGTGGCTCCTGTGCTAATGTCTAAGCTGTCTGCGAACGCCCCCGAATTTTACCCATCAGGTTATTCTTCTCATTATACAGTGAGTGCACTCTTTTCCTACAACTCTGGGTTAGTACTACAGGTTATTCATCAGACTATGCTGCTATTCTCTGTTCTACCATAAATATACTTTGTTAATTCATTGAACTCATGAGGAAACAACTGATTCAGATATATTTTGAAGGTATATTCAAGGTATAGGCATGTCAACTTGAGGGTAGGAATTCTTGTCTGTGTGGTTCACTGCCGTATTCCCAGCACCTATGGAGTACAATAAGCTAATAAATCTGATGTAATAAGCCTGGTGTCAGGACATCTTCCATTTGTAAAACTATTTCCTGGTTTTATGGACAAACCTGTAATGACCTACCAAAACTCATTTTAAATTTTATTTTAGCAAGATAACTGAATATTCATTGGTGATTTTAGAACAAATTAAACAGTGATTTTGCTGTTAACTAGTTTTTTTGACTGTTGAGAAGTACACATCTGGGTTGTTTCTGGTGGCTGTTTAAATAGAAGAATTTCTGATGCTAGTTACCTATTGTTCGTGGAAGTGTAAGAGTTTGCATAGTTTATGTAGTTATAAAGAACTCTTCAACTTTGAGTTTCATCTTTGTCAGCAATATAACATTTTTAAAATTGGTCATTTTTTTTCTTAGCAGTAGCAAGCACAAAGCTGGGATGTGTAGAAAGGAATTGTGCTAAGTAAGCTCCAGATGAGTAAATGCACAGGGATTAAATGTAAAGAATTGGGGGAGGGAATCATTCTACTGATTGAAAAAAGGATTAATATTTTAGCGTACAGCTTCTGTTGCTTCTTAGTTTTATTGAAATGTAATGTACATAAGGATTAGCTCAAAGTTTCACAAAGTGAATGCTTGGGTAACTAGCATCCCAGTCAAGAAATACAGCATTATCAAGGTCACTAATCATTACTCATGTCCAAGGGTAGATAACCACTTTTTTCTTGTTCTTGTTTGTTTTTGTTTTAGACAGGGTGTCAGTATGTAACTCAGGTTGGCCTCAAACTCACTGCTCACCTGGGATTACAGACGTGCTATCGTGTCTAGGTTTGGCCACTGTTTTGACTTAAAATAGTTTTGCTTGTTTTCAAAATTTATGTAAATGGAGGCATATAGAATATATTGCTTCTTACTTTTTCTGCCTGCATCAACATTCATGTTGTAACACATAATTTGAGGTGATTTATTCTCATAGCATGTCATTTCATGATCACATCAGGGTTCCATTTATCTGTGACTCTACATTGGGTAGCTTCCACTTTTGGGCTGTTACGAATAGGATTGCTATTCCTATCCATTGCCTGGTGAATATATTCCTTTATTTCTGCATGATACATCTAAGGAGTAGAATTGCTGGAACATAAAGTAGCCAGCTTTAGTAGTGACTTCTGTATAATTTTCCAAAAAGATCATTCCACTGTTACTCAAGTATATGCTTCCTACTTGTTCTCCTTCCCCAGCAGCACTTGGTATTTCCTGTTCAGCCATTCTGATAGGTATATAGTATTGAGCTGTGGTTTCAGTTTGTATTTTTCTTACAACTAGTGATGGCACACCTTTTTTGTAACCCATTTTTGGCTCTCTCCATATTTGATAGGGAAAATACGGAAAGACTGTAGTTCATGGGAACTTCATGTACAGGAAAAAGCTTTGGAACTGAAAAGGGGAAAGTATAGGCATGGCAGGAAGAGTATTTGATTTGGGGTAAAAAGTAAAGTAGAAATGAGAGAAGCTTGGGTTCTTGCCAGAAAATTGTATCTGGCTCAGGGAAGGAAGGAACCATCGGTCTGTAGGTACTTGAATAATTCTTAAGGATGTTTGCCTTTTAGCAGCCACAGACATTTCTGCATTTACTTTCTTCCCTGTTCACTTGATCTGTTTTATGATGGGCTTGCAACAGTTTTTTTTTCAAAGTCTTAAATATAGTTCAAATGACTTTTGGGCTGTAGAGCAATGTATTAAGTCATGTAAGTCCACTTACTTTGAGCCATTTTCATCTTTTAGGAATTCTTTGCTATCATTTAGTACATCAGATCCCTCTCTTCTCAGTTTACCAGAACAAATTGTGAACTGCAAGCCTGTGTGGCCCACAGGTGTATGTTCTTTGGCCCTTGGTGTATGGTTTTTAAAGGTGTTTTAATTCGTTACCAATATTTAAATTAGATATTTCAAGTCTGAGTTTTCTGGTTTCTGTGGAAATCATAACAACTAGCTACAGTGAACTGACATTAAAAAAATCAGTCGGAGCAGAGTAGAGGCATACTTTAACAATTTGCTCCCTTGACTTTTCTCATTCATTTGTAGCCCACCTGGATTCCATAGATAATTGGGCTTGCTACCCTGCTCTGGTTACTAGTTTATACTAACATTTACCCTTTGTCAAGGCTAACAGTGTTTCTTACAGAACAGCAGAATTCTTATATTTCCCTGACTTCAGGATAAGATCTTGTGAGGGCAACTTTTCCTATAGTGCCCATAATCCAAAGTTAGCTATATTCATACACTCACTCATTCAACAAGCAGTTGAATACTTACCATAAGTCAAACACTGGACATACAACAACAAATAAAATGGGCAGAGCCTGTTTTCTAGTCCCAGAAATTCCTTGTGTTTCCTTTCTTTCTCTTATAAAAATTTTACAGTTCTGGGATTTGAGCTTAGGGCCTTGCACATTCTAGGCAAGCAGTTTATCACTTAAGCCACACATGCAACTTTTTGCTTTAAGATATCTTACAGATAGGGTCTAGTGTTTTGTCTAGGACCAGCCTTGGTTTACAGTCCTTCTACATATGGCTCCCACATAGCTGGGACTCTAGATGTTAGCCACTTACCCAGCTTTGTTTGTTGAGATGGGGTCTTGCTAACTTTTTGCTCCAGCTGACCTCAAACTATGATCCTCACAATTTCTGCTTCCCAACTAATTGGGATTCCAGGTGTGCATCACCATGCCTAGCTGAATCTTCTTTTTTTCTATATATTGCCTGGTGTTGCTGAGGTACATCTCTCTTAAGAATAACCTCTTCATACAGTCTTTTCTGTACTTTTTAACTCCTTCAAAGCCCCAAGCCTTTTCTCTTCAGTCCTTCCTGTAATCCTGCTGCTAGAAATTCCTAATTTGTATACTCTTAAAAGTGATTTGCAGTGACCATCTATTACTGATTTTTGCTTCTCAAGAAGATATGCTTTGAATATTTAATCATGGTATACTTAACCACTACCAAAAGTTTCACATAGGAATTTATAAAGCATTTATTACGAGATGAAAGTCTGTCCCCCATCTGCTTCCAAAAAAGTCCAATAGCTATATATATATATAATATATATATATATTTTGTCTAAAGCCATCTCCCTTTAAGTTACTGCCCAGTTTTTCCTCTTAGAGTAGTTAACAGTCTCTAATTCACCATTGGCACTACTACAGTGAGAGGTATCTCACTGATTATGCAAACCTCTGCAGTCTGATCCTCCAAAGTGTACTGATAGTATTTTGTAGCAGTTAATGACACTTCTGGTTTTTAATCTATGGACCTCTTAACCTTCATCTTAGGGCTTGAACACAGTCCATAAACACAATGTGATTTATTCAGCTTAAAGTTCCTAATGTGCCAAGTCCTGTGCTGGATGTCAAAGTTACCATATTTTAGTCTTTCAAATCTCTTTAAAATTTTATGAGAACTAAATACTTAAGATACTAATTTTGTTATAATTTTTTCTTTGTATGTTATCTCCTTTACTCCTAAGACTGTGTAGCCATCATTCTCTTCTAGATATTAAGCTACTAATGTATTCAGCATTTGATACTGACTTCTGTGGTGGTACTTTCTTTTTTGTCCCAACTTGCATATCATTCTTTCTTCCCTCATATTGCAGCCCCTGAGGTTCTATCTTTTTTTCTATTTTATTTTCTCCCTTGTGAATCCTGCCTGCCTCTAGAATGTGACAGTTCCCTTCCTATGTGCTAATAACCCTCAAATCTCATTCTTCCTCAGAACTCCAGACTTGTGTTTGACTTCATGAAGATCTCACATTAAAATCAAGTATAAAACAATTTATAAGACAGATCTCTTCTTTCTAACTAGTTTAGACCACAATCTTGGTGTATTTATTGACTCAACCTCTCTTCTTCACACCTTCCCTTGTTCAGTTCAGCTAACCTAAGTAATCCTGACTCTGGTCAGTTGCCTTTCCCCATTGCCTTTTGGACCTCATCTTTTGACAGCTCATACAAAGTATCTACCATGAAAGGCCTGTTGTCTAACTGATGGTCCCTGGTAATTTCTGCAATAGAATTATAAGAAAATAATGCTTGAAAAGTATTCCACAGCTTGGAAGCCATTTGAGTCCACATTGAACACTAAAGAAATTTGTACTTTGAAAAATCTGTGTTAGAGAACTAATGCAGGCTTTGATTCAAACATGATGGACTGCCTAATTGTTCAGAATATTCTGCACCTTTTTAATTTAAAATGGTAAGCTTTGGATCAAATCCTCTGTTCTGCTATATTCAGAGCAGCTCTACTTTCCTTTTACTTATCAGACTTCAAATTTTCTTGAAAGAATTCTGTTGACTTTACAAAAGAAAAGACTGGAAATCAGTGTCCTAAACTACATTTTTGCTGCAATGACACTTCCTAGAAACTGAAAATTAGTAGCTTCAGCTGGGACCTACAGACTTGCCTTTTTGCTTTTGTTATCAATAATGGTAGATACTACAAGTCTACAGAACTATCAGATGTCTATGAAAAACTTTTAAATTATAAAATTCACCATGCATGTGTTTAAAATTAAGTATATTAAGTAAGGTGTGCCATTCCCCCCCCACCCCGCTTTGGTGGAATCGAGGTTTGAACTCTGGGCTTTGTGCTCTACTGCTTGAGCCACACCTCCAGTCAATTTGGCTGTGGTTATTTTGGAGATGAGGTCTTGGAAGGTATATACCCAGGGCTGGCCTCGAACTGCAGTCCTCCTGATCTCAGCCTCTCAAGTTGCTAGGATTACAGGTGTGAGCCACCAGTGCCTGGCTAGGTGTGCACTTTTTATGCTTGACTGCTTTCATAACTTTATAAAGTTTTATTTATAATAGGAACATTTCTTCACTCCAGAGGTAAGTATTCTCCATTGTTTGTCTTTCCAGAAATTTCTCTGCCTATATAAATAAGTCTATTAAAATTTAAGTTATACTAAAATTTGGTTGCTTAATATACTGTTTCAGAGTTATTTCTGAATGAATACATGTAAATTACATCTTGTTTCCTTAAATGGCTATGTGATAGTCCATTACATAGATATACAATAATGTTTTAACCAGTTCTTTGTTTATAGATTGTTAGATGAATTTCTTGGTAGTTATGTCCTTGTACATAAAGTCAGACCTATATTTTAAGACTTGTGTTATTTGAAGGTGCTATACAGAGTAAAAGTACAAGTTTTAATTAGCTTTGTGACCATACATAGATTACTCAAGTTGGTGTATAGTCCTTCTTGCTCAGATCCTCCCTCTTTCCCACTGACCTAATTAGCAATTTCTGTGTTTTAACCATTGTCTCTTTTTCAAAGGTACCAGGCCAAGTACCTCCTGAGTCCCTGCCTGGCCATATTTTTCATATCTGAATGTGTTGTCCGTCACAGGATATGTGAGAAGGGACTTTGTCTACTTTATTCATTGGAGACATCATGTCATGGCAGTAGTCTCAGTCCCCAAAACAGTCTTTAGCACTTAGTAGGCACTCAACACTCACATAGCTGTGTATTTGTTTGTTTTTAGACAAGGCCTTGCTATGTACTCCCAACTGGTCCTCAAACTCCCAGTCCTCCTGCCTCAGCCTCCTGAGGGCTGGAATTACAGGCATGTGCAATACTCACATGGTTTTTGAACCAAAAGTGACTGCTCCCATTTCTTCTGTGAAGAAGAGACTGTAATACTTACAATATTTTCTAGGGTTAAATGAGATAATACATGCAAATCCCCTGCTTAAAGTCCTTTTAAAAAGCACTGAAAGGCTGTTAGTCTTTCTACTAAGACTGGGTATCTATCTCTAACTTGGAGCTTTCGTAAAGGTATTTTTTACCATGCATTTGTTTGTTTTACTTAGTCACTGACTTTAGAACTTAACCCCTTCATAAGATGCTTCTATGTTACAGCCTTAATTTTTCATGTGGTTTCTAATTTGAGCCTATTCGAAGAAGGGTAAATTTAATCAAGGAATGTAGTCATTATTTGACCGTAACAATTAGGTAAACTTTAAAATTCTTTGGATGAATTCAATTATGGTATGTCATAAGAACTTTTGTAAATGTCACAATGTACCCCCCAGCAACAATTAAAAAAAAAAAAAAACCTGCTTTTGGATGGTGTTCCAGGCAATAAAAATGGAAAGGGTGCTATTCTGATCTGATAACTTTTGCAAAGTGAAATATTTCCAGTAGAAATATTAGCTAGAAACTGCTACTATTATCAAGATTGGTTAAAAATCTAGATGTAGCAACCAGAAAGCCTCCTGCCATTTATACCATGGTGAAATTTTATACTTAAGCATTTAAATTCATTTCCCTGTCTTTAGGGGTTAACAGGTACATGACAAACCTTTCTAGGTTTTTTCCTTTCAGTATAGAAATTGTCAAACATCTACAAGGATATAGAGAGTGGTATAATGAATATCCATGGTCTTGACAATAAGCTACATGTGGCCATTCTTGTTTCTGTATATCTGGTCTATCCTTTCCCTCCCATTTTGAGGGAAATCCTAGATTTTAACTCATGTTAAATAGATTCATTCTTTTTATATTGATATTACACTGAAAATGGTTTAAACTTTCTTAGCTATCTTGTAACGCTGCCAGAATTGAGAAGACAATCCCATCATCTATATGGAGCCCTTCTCTTCTTACCTTTTAACACTTGGCAGTTAGGCAAGAAAGAAGGATAGCTCGGTGGACTTAAAATTTGTTAATGTTCTTTAAAGTTATGTGAAAGATCCTTAAAAAATAAAAATAATTTGTGCTAGAGATTTACCAACTTAAACTTATTTTAACTAGTTGCACAGATTAAGGGTGTCCTTTGTGTTTTAAATTTTTGATCTATAGGAATCCTATGAGGATGGTTGTGACGATTATCCCACTCTATCAGAATATGTTCAGGATTTTTTGAATCATCTTACAGAGCAGCCTGGCAGTTTTGAAACTGAAATTGAGCAGTTTGCAGAGACCTTGAATGGCTGGGTTACAACAGATGATGCTTTGCAAGAACTTGTAGAGCTCATTTACCAACAGGTAGGTTGGCTAATAGCATAGTGTAACCTCCAGGTAGCACCATTTAAGCTCAGGAATGGTGTCTACTTATCAAGGGGGCCAGATTTCTATTTATTTCTATTGACCTGTGTGGCCAGACCTCTGAACACACAAGCAGTAGTACGGAGGGAGATTTGGGCACTTACAACTACTTTGTTTTGTAGGATATGAAACTAAGAGTGTGCAAAACAGACTGCCTCTATTTCTTTCCTATTTGTTGAATTACGTAGCATTATTGGAGAAAGGGAGAAAAAATTGTGAGAACTTTCTTGCCTCATAAATGAGTCTTTAAAAAGTCCAGACCGCACAACAGTCCTATCTTGAGTGTTTAACATTTCCACTTCTCTTTCCTTTCTTTTAAACTTTTAGGATTTCCATCTTAATTTCTTAGAATTGTTATCAGTTGTGATTTTTGTGTCACAAAATATTCAGTTTTTCTCTGGTATATTGGTTACTGGCACGTTAATGCTATTTTAAGGGTGAAAATTGCAATAGACAGCACTAGCTTTTTCTTTCTTTCTGTTTTTTGTGGTACTGGAACTTGAACTCAGAGCCTGTACCTTGGAGCCACTCCACCAGCCCTATTTTTGTGAAGGGTTTTTCTAGATAAGGTCTTGTGAACTGTTTGCGTATGCTGGCTTCGAATTGTGATCCTCCTGATCTATGCCTCCTGAGTTGCTAGAATTATAGGCGTGAGCCACCGGCACCCGGCAACACTAGCATCTTAAGAAAAAATTTTAAGGTCAGTGTGAGACTGGTCAAAAATAGTGAAAGATGACCAGAAATATAAATGGCAGTGTCCTGTAAGTCATTGCTAAAAGAGCAGTTCAAGTTAGGAATATATGGAGGGGTGATCATAATAGCAAACTGATGATTATATCCTTCCTAATGTTTCATTTGGCTACTTTTCCAAGTTGGCTCTCCATGGTTACTGATAGATTAACCTTACATACAAGTTAATCAACAGCTTTATTAAAGTAATTTATGGATATCTACTCATAACAACTAATAGAAGAGGACCTGTTTTGAAAGATAAACATACACATTCAACTTTGATTCTCTCTTCAAACTACTAAATTGACAGTATGAGAATTTTTTAAAGGTAGCAGCTCATAAGGACAAAGAACAGAAAAGGAGATAAAAGCCCAGTTTTGAAAGCTATAGTGCAAATAGGTGAGTGGTAATTGACTTGGTAGATCTAAAAGTTCAGTTTCAAACCAGTGAGGAAAGCTGAGAATTGCTCTGATTTACAGTGTGGATCTCCAAAGGGCTCTAGCAAAAGGTTGAAATGAGGCTAAAAAGATTGCTTGAGACTTAAAATTAGATTCTGTAGATCACCCAGTAGCTAGTTCGAAGTTTTATTGTAACCCTTTTCAAGAAGTTGTCAACAGAGGTACTCCGCAAAAAAAAAAAAAAAAGCAGGGGGGTGGATTTAAGCCAAAGGCAAAAACACAGGAACCAGGGAACAGGAATTTTTATAGGAAAAGCTAAGTGAATCATCCAGATGGTGAAAGAAGATCCCAACACAACACCTACATGTACAGCAGGGGCTAGAGTAGTCAGGCTTCAATGAAACAGGTCAGAAAGTTCCAGGAAAGATTTCCCTGGCAAGATGAGCACACTTGATGTGTTCGAAGATAATGAAACAGATTTGTAATGTAGTGAGTTTAAGGACAAATTAATGAGAAATATATAAAAACATACAAAAGACAGAGTTTTCCCCAACAGGGAAAAAAAAAGTTTGAAAAGGAAAAAGATCAATGTAATACACAGGTCAGCTGCAAATGGAAACACAAAAATAAAGTCATATATTGTAGCACTCAGGAGGTGGAGGCTTAGGATTTCAAGTTCAATGCCAGGCCACATAGTGAATTTGAAGTCAGCCTAGGCTACTGTAGGTAGAAGGAATGAGAGATGGTAGAATAGGGTGGCTTGAGTAGGGTGAAAGCTAAAATCTCATTTTCCATTGTGGGAAACTAGTAAGAAATCTATACTGAAAAATATGTAGTGTGCAGACACAGAAGTTAAAATCTTTTCAGCTGAAAGAATTGGAAGTGTTTGTCTACGAGAGTAAAATTGGAGTGCAGGTAAGGAACAAAACTGTTGAATGATAGCCTTGTAGAACTTAATCTTTACTGCTTGTGATAATTGTAAAGAAACTTTACAAAAACTTTAAAAGAAAATAAAGGAAACATAAATGCCAATAATGGGAAAAGTAGAAGTTTGAATTTCACATCTTTTGTTAAGCATTCTGATATCAGGAGGAATCAATGTTTATCTTTGTGAAATGTATAGGGTCACATGTGACCAAGGAAATAATTTATAGTTATTTTATCTTTTTATTTCTAAAGTACTACATGCCTGGCAGTGCTAAGCACTTCACATGTAACCCATTTAATCCTTAATGGTTGCAAAGTTATACTCTTATTCCCATTTTCTACATATCTGAACAAAGAGATCAAATGACTTGTCTGAGGTTACCATACCAGTTAACAGATCCAGCAGGGAGTTGGAGGGGCTTTAGTCCATTTGTTGGATCTAGAATATGGTCAGTTACCTTTGTGTCCTTGGCCAGGTCTTTTAACCTCTTTATGTGTATTTTCTTACCAACTATTAGGTAGGTAGTAAACTGTTTTGTACTAGTCTTTAAAAACTGTAATTAAAGTTAAATTTTTTGACCGTTTTTGCACTGCCTTTTTAAAAAAAAAGTTTACCTATTTGGATTTTCTCTTTTCCCCAAGCGTTTTTGTCATGCTTTGTGTTAGTTTCTCACTTTAGGAATCAGACTAAAGCACAGAGAGGTTTAGTGCTGTGCAAGAGAGAATGCCTAGAATCTTGTACTGGACTACTAGATACCAAAGTCTGCTCTTTTGCCCCTGAGAAGCAACATTGATCAATATTGGCAGCTGTTTCCCTTATTTGTAATTATTACCATGGAGTTGGATACATGTCTATATTTTCTGCAAAAAGTGGGTTGATATCAAGAAACATTGTCTAATTGCTTTCTGGCAGCTGCAGGTAAATGGAGGAGAGGATAAATTGCCTCAAATGTTTTCCTTTGTGTTTGTTGTTAGGTTGGGTGAGAAAGTGAACTTGTTAAGTCTTTTGTTAGGCAAAAGGAAATTAATATTTTTCTGTACAGTAGCCTTAGTTTGGGAAGCCAAAATGTTTATTCTGCTTTAAAAATGTTGTTAAGTGTTTGCATTAATAATGATGTATCTGTGTCATACAAAATTTGTCCTTTAAACAGGCCACATCTATCCCAAATTTCTCTTATATGGGAGCTCGCCTGTGTAATTACCTGTCTCATCATCTGACAATTAGCCCACAGAGTGGCAACTTCCGCCAGTTGCTACTTCAAAGGTCAGTATGAATATGAAATTAAAGGAAAAGTACTTTAAAGATTATAGAAAGTTGCAGGGGAGTATAGAGTGAACCATTCTTATTTGCGTAATAGTAAAAGCTTACAGTCAAATACGTATTTTTTTTCTGTACTGGTCTCTGCCTTTCTGGTTTTGTATTTAGGAAGGCCTTTTGTTTCCCAAGATCTTCAAAATAATTACTTATGTAGTTCTGACTACTTTTGTAGTTTTGGCTTAAGAATTATTATTTATAGATTTTGAAAACCCCTTTTATCCACACTGCATTCTTTAACTTGAGTGCTAACTCTAGAATTTAATTATATTTCATTTATTACTTGTTCTCCACCTTCCTTTGCCATGTAATAGCTATTTATAAAAAGCTCTAATACTTTAAACATCTGGCGTAGTTCTTTCTTGTGGTATCTTCTTTGCTATGCTGTTTTTCTCTAATGAACTTTAGAATCAGTGTTGAATTAGATAAAATGTATTGGGGTTTCGTAGATATTTGGGAGATGGTACTGAATTCATAACTCAGGGAAAACAAATTTGTCATGAGTATTCTTCAGTAACAAGGTTGTCTTCAAATTTATTGTTGCTATTCCTTAATTCTTTAAAATGCTTCTAATAGGGCTCAGTGGTAGAGCACATGCCTAGATTGTGCAAGGCCTGGGTCCAATGTATAGTTAAACTGCAGTGGAACAGAGTAAAGATTCTAAAAATAGACCCCAGCAACATTGAAATTTAAGCTTTTGATAAAGGGAGTACTTTAAATACACATGTGAAAGATAAATTGTGCTGATAGCACAACAGGGTAGCCATTTAGAAAAAAAAAGGAAAGATGGTTTCCTGTCTCACTCCTACCAAATTAAATTCCAAATACATGAAAAGTGAAACAGTAAATACTAAGGAGAAAATTAACAAACAAAAATCTTGTTCCAGGGTTAAAGACCTTTTAAGCCAGGCATTATACCCATAAGCCCTTAAACAAGAGATAGCAAATTTTTAGTTAAATATAAATCGTAACATTTGGAGGAAGGCATAGTTTGTATCAAGTAAAAATAGGGAGATTTATTAACACATGGCAATGAGCTCTCATATTTAGTACAGAGAGATCTCTTAGGAATGAGTAAGAAAAAGACCGGTGTCTTAATAGAAGTATTCAGGATTGTTCTGAATAAGTACAATTTGGAAAAATATAAATGACAAAGTTATGAAAAAAATCTGTCCTTACCTGTAACTGAAGAAATGCAGATTATAGCTTCTGAGTAGAAAGAATGTGGAGTACTTTTAGGAGGGTAAGATGCCAGAAAGGCTTCTTTTATTATATTCTCCAGTGCTTCTAACCCCAACCTGGGTCTTCCAGTTATGTAGAGACTTAAAATAGGTCTGAGATCCTGCCCCTGCAGCTTGGAAACTCTGGTGAAGTAGGACTGAAGGAGGAGGCTTATATGGTTTTGGATTTCTTTTTTTCTTTCTTTTTTTTTTTTTTTAACGCTCTCTAGTGATTCGTTGTATAACCATGGTTGACAATCATTCTTTCACTACCTGGGTACACTTGTATAGTATCACTATTTACCTGGGTACACTTGTATAGTACTGTCAAATATAGCAATCTGGAGAAATACTGATGATATAAGTGGGAAACAGAGCATACTTCTACAGAACTCTTTTGGAAATATGTACTTATTGTACTTTGAAAAAGTTCCTTCATAGCAGTTAACCTCTTGATTGCAGTGGTTTTGGGGGAATTTTTCATCTTTATGTTTTCTGTTTTTATCTTTTAAAAGTAATATATTGCTTTTATAATTGAAAATGTTAGTTTTATAGATTTAGGGCATTTCACCTAGATAATCAGCCTTATACAAGTGTAGATATTTACTTAAGTATCCCAACTTTTTTCCTGATGGGGAATTAACTTAATACGTATGAGAATGTAACAAATACTCTTACTTACTACATTTGACTCAAAAGATGGTGCTCATTAATATAGCTTGTAAGCATTGGAGTTGGCCACATAGTCGCAATGAGCTGTGGTTACTGGTTCAAACCTACCCATGGTAAATGGTTGGGCAAGAGGTGATTTCTTTGGCTTTATTTAAAGGAATTGTTTTTAAAAAAGAAAAATATAAATTGGCTGTATGGAAACCATTCAGTCTCCATAAGCCTTCCTTTGTCTTTAAAAGAAAAACTGTCAAAGTCAGAGTCTTCTTGCCACTTTCTTCAGTAAAAATATGAAAAAAAATTAACACCAAAATGATAAACTTTTTTAAAAAATCCATTTTAGTAACAGTAGCTGACACCATAATTCACTAACAAAGGCAATAAGAACTGTTACTGTACATTCCAGGAAGAGTTCTTTTTGTTATCTAATGTGAGGCAGATGGTCCAAGTAAGGGAAAAATCAGTTATGTGATGCTATTGTAAATAGAGATCAAATTAATTGCTTTGTATTTTCAACTAGTTTTTTTTTTTCCCCCCTCACTAATGTTTTGCAGGTATGTATAATGGAAAGCATAATAACAATGGACTTAAAAATTCATTTTACTTTCAGCTTAGATGGAGGCTCTCTATGTATCTTTTTACCTATCCACGTATTTATATAAAGATCTAGTTCAAAGTTCATATTCAAAACAGAAAACTTCAAGCTGATTTAGATAAAAAGCAGTGCTTTCTTAACAGCAACAGCAGAAATCTATCAAGTATAAAATGAGGCCCTTTTGGTGCCAGTATGCTCTGCACTTAAACCTACGTCTCGTAAATGCATTGTAAACTTAATCTCATGGTTTTATTTTTAATTATCCCTATCAGGTTCTTAAAACTGGGAATTGTATTATGAAAAGGTAATGTAGATGTCTTTATAATAGATCGGAATACTTTTTCTTTATTATAGGAAGGCAAGGCGTTGAATCATTGAGCTTGCCTCTGTTGATAACCAAACTAGCAAATGGTCGTTTGACTATTTAAAAAGACAAAGAAATGTGAGATTATAAAAGATTTGTCTTTATTAGATGTCGGACTGAATATGAAGTTAAAGATCAAGCTGCAAAAGGCGATGAACTGACCCGAAAACGATTTCATGCATTTGTACTCTTTCTGGGAGAACTTTATCTAAACTTGGAGGTGAGAAGACTTTTCCATTGTTATTGTTAATTATTAACAAGGCCAGAAATCATAAACTGATCTCAATGAGGAATTTTTGTTTACAGTATACTTTTACAACATTAAAAGTGAAATGAGCTGGGTGTGTTTGTATAAAACTGTAATCCAAGCTTTTGCACTTGGGAGACTGAGGCAAGAAGAGGATCAAGAGTTGAGGCCAGCCTCAAAACTATATAGCCTATAGAGCAGAGACCTTGTCTAAAAACACTAGAAAAAAAAATGAAATGAAGCAGGGAATGAGAGAGAAAATATTTCAAATCAAACTATTTAACATGTGCATTGCCTCAAGTATCTTTTATTATGATGTACAACATTTCTCTTGCATTTATTCCTCCTGTCTAACTGGAAGTTTGTATCCTTTGATGAATATCTTCCTAATCCCTCAAACCCTCCCCCACAGAATAATTTTTGTCCTAATTTATATTTAATCTTTCACATAAAATGTACAAATTCAGCAGCAGAACATGTTTGTAAATTTAGATGATATACTTGACAACATAAGTTAAATACTCCTGTGTAATGGATTTTCTGGATTATGTTTTTGTTTTTAGTGAATCCCTGATACAGATTTCTACCTTCTTAAATGCTTATGTTGGAATTTAATATCATGAACACCATAACATTGTGAACAATAGTAGATAGATGAATTCACCATCAAATGTGCATCTGTATTTGTGTCTAAAATGTCTATGTGTAGTCCATCCAGTCTAGTGCCTCATTTTATACTATAGCAGGACTTGATTTTTTAAAAATTTCATGCTTTTTTTTTCAGTCTGATATTTATATAAGCCAAAATAAGAACACTAATTTAAAATGTGCTTAAATGAATCCATATTAAGAATGGTGCTTAGCATTTCTTAGGTAGAAGTAATGATGCTGAATCTATGGGGGCAGAGTGTAAAGATGAGGCGTAGTACTGCACCTAAGATTCCGCCAGCAGGTGAGAGAGATTTTATACAACTCGAGCCCAAATGAGAATGTTTTTAGGGCTGGAGATGTAGCTCAATGGTTGCATGGTTGTTTAGGATGTGTGAGGCCCTGGATTCAACACCTAACACCACACCAAAGTAAAAGTTTTAAAATAATATAAAAAGCAGAGTAAAATCGTGATCAAAAAAGGTGGTAGCTTCACTTGGAGTATGCTTAATGAAGGCAGTAATATAAAAGTGGACTTAAGTTTTTTGACGATGTTATGTTGATAAATGAAAATTTAATTTTATTTATAGCTTACAGTTTTATTAGAGGTCTTATTTACATATAGCGTAATTATAATTAATTCTGTGAAGTTACCAGAGGGTATCCCTGTGGTTTTAGTACTTGACTAAAACATTTATTCTGCCATTGTTAGACCATTTGTATATCTGTATTATGTTTGGATATTGTTGCTATTAATTTTCTTTTGTCCCAAAAGATAAAAGGAACAAATGGACAGGTTACAAGAGCAGATATCCTTCAGGTTGGTCTGCGGGAATTGCTGAATGCTCTCTTCTATAATCCTATGGATGACAACTTAATTTGTGCAGTAAAGTTACTGAAGGTTGGTTTTACATTTTAAAATTTGTTTTACCCATTTAATTTATAATTTAAAAGAAGGGAAGTATGTGTAGTGCACAAATGAATCCAAGATTGTTTTTTAAAGTTAAATATTGACATTTTACTTTGCTTTTGAATATATTGGAAAGGTAATACTTACAGCTAATATAAGAAGCAAAATTTAGAAGTGAAAAATGGAAATCCGTCACTCCATTACCATCTATGAATTCTCTTTCCTTCCTTTCTCATGTTTGTGTGCTCTTACAAGTAAGATCTTATTTTGTTGTGGTTTTAAAAATTCTTTTTTTTTTTTTTTGCCACTAGTGGAAGATCTTAAATCATTCTGTGACACAGATTTAGCTCTGTATTAACTTCGTAGAATTATGTTGTATTCATATACATTGTGTATCCATTCTGATAATGAACATGTGTTATTTTCAGTTTAACCACTATAGTACTGCTACTACTATTTCATTATGCCTTCTTGGGTAGCTTTTTGGGGGTGTTTGTTTTGGTGTATTTAAGTTTTAACTCAGGGTCTTTGGCTTGCTAGGCAAGTGCTTTGAGCACCTTCAGCCATTAGCTATTTTTATTGATTAAATTTCTGAACATATACATTTGTTGGGTTAGTGAGCATGTATATATTGACAAGTAACATTAAAGTTTCCTTCCAACTGCTGAACCAATAAATGTGTATACTGTTTTTCTTGGTGGAGTTTTTTGTTGTTGTCCAAAGCTTTTATATTTGTTGCGTTTTTTTTTTGTTTTTTTTTTTTTTTTAAAGAGCAATGCTGGGGATTGAATTTAGGGCCTTGAGCTTTCTTGGCAAGTACATATAATCACTGCCATGAAACTAATATGATTAAAGGTTTTCTATAATCCATTCCTTTAGTGTTTCTTTAAGTCAAGAAAAACATAAAAGGTATGGAGGTTTCTGACTATTAGATGGTAGGCAGAGAATAAGTGGGAATATTTGACCTGCTAAATTCATCTTGTTTATAGAATGTTTTAACTGCTACTACTAATAGCTTTTTAGAATTTCTACACTATTGCATTCCTTATTGTACTGACACCTGCTTCTTTAGTTGACAGGGTCAGTTTTGGAAGATGCTTGGAAGGAAAAAGGAAAGAATGATATGGAGGAAATTATTCAGAGAATTGAAAATGTTGTTCTTGATGCAAACTGCAGCAGGTAGGAGAAGCAGCCAATAGATTTCAATTTCTTTTTCTTTTGGAGTTATTTTTAATCTGCTGCAATTCATCACAGTAATTGAAATCTTACAGATTGAGCTTCAGAAATATTTCCTTTAAAGATACAGTATTTTGTCTATGCCTTCTCACTAGTCTTTTTTTTGTTCAGTTACTGTTTTTCTTTTTATAACAGTACTGGGGTTTGAACTCAGGGTTTTGTGCTTGCTAGGCTAGCACTCTGCCACTTGAACCATACCCCCACCACCGTTCAGTTACATTTAAAGTTGAAAAAGTTTAGAATTTCCTGTGGTAAGATGAGTCCTTTGAAAAATAAAATGACTTAGAGTTTAACGTTAAATAAATACTTGTAAAGAACTAAGTATAGTAAGAAATGTTTAAAGGAAAATTGTTGCCATTAAGGACCTTATAATCAGTTATGTGGAACAAATTTCAAGGCTGTTTTTAAAAAATAAAAATAGTAAAGTGAATGTATATCATTATAGGGAATGTCTAGAAATTAAAGCATTGGGCATAGATGTTAAGTGTAGGAAATAAAGTTTTTGGAGTCTGTAAGGTATTTTAGAGCCTGACTACACTTGTGGTGGATTTACTTTTGTCTGCAGAGATGTAAAACAGATGCTCTTGAAGCTTGTAGAGCTCCGGTCAAGTAACTGGGGTAGAGTTCATGCAACTTCAACATACAGAGAAGCAACACCTGAAAATGATCCTAACTACTTTATGGTATACCAGTATTTTTATTTTAAGTTACACTTATTGCTTGGGTTATTTTGGAAATTAGTCAAAGTACATAAAGCTATTCTAGAACTCAGTTCCTGATAATGCTTTTAATCAGCTTAGGATGGCATAGGAACCAGCAGACCAGATAAATAAAGAAAAGGGAACCTCCACTGAAAAAATGACATACTAGGGAAAGGTTCATCTGATGGCAAGGGAGAATAAGGCTTGGGTTTGAGTCAGCATAGAGATGTAAGATGCAGTTTTTCCAGAAAATTCATAACCAAAATCTTATATCTCAGATTTTATTTTGTATGATGTAACAAAAGAGTAAAAATGGTAACTGGGCCAGTGATAGCCTATAGTTATTGACTAAACATAAAGCAGTTATAGAGGAATGTTCCTACACCCCTGGTCCTAGAAATTCTTTGAAGAAATGCTTGGGGAGGGATTACACAACTAAAAATGAGCCAACGTTTGACCACAATTCACCTGGAATGTGACAGACACTGGATGGCAGGGTTAGAACTACAGCCCAGATAATAGAATGGAAATCCCTGTAAAATGGAGTGACTCCCAGAAGTTGGGGGTCTTCTTTTCTGTTTGTTTTGCTTATTACCAAGTACAAATAAGTAACATCAGCCATGCTGCTCTATTTGTTGTATGTAATTAATTTTGAAATGATTATACATTTTTGTCACTTTGATTGATCCTAGAACGAACCAACATTTTATACATCTGATGGTGTTCCTTTCACTGCAGCAGATCCAGGTATGTTGTCTCAGTCATTTTCCTCCCATTTTTGTAAAGTAGTAAATTACATAAAACTACTCCTCATCAGTACAAAATGTAGCTTTTTGATGTGTTCTGTGCATTCTAAAAGCTAAGATAAAAGTTTTAATTTATGTAGAATATTCTTTATGGTGACCATTTAAGCCACTTCAAATGTAATTTTGACCATGTATAGTGTCTTGTCAATCCATTTTAACTGTTAAGGATTAGAAAAATTTCTTCAATTAAATGCAGCCATTTTTATTTTATATTTTCTCTTAATATTTTGTTTTTGTATTCTTAAGCTTTCAAGTGGTTAGAATCTAGGAGAAAAATGGCTCTAGTTTGCTACATAGTCTGTAGCTAATATTAATATGGGTTTATACTTATAGACATTTTGAAGTACAAATTTCATTAATACTCAGTGATTCAGAATTAATTAAAATCTAAATCTCTGCATACTCTCCCTGCCAGAAAAAGGCCATTTATAGAAAGATTGCTTCAATTGTGATAGATGGACTATAGGTTTGCAAGAGAGATGCTCCCAATTTGGTACAAGCTATAACCAACTATGGGATTTTTTTATTTTTTGGGATTTTTCCATTTGTTTTCTCTTAATAGCAGGCATTGATTGTCATGTGCCTCTACCACAAAGGAGTCTCTTTAGACTGGGAAGTTGAATTGGAGTTACAGACTCTGAGCATCTTCAATTTCTCTGAATGCTCCTAAATTGCTTTTCTAATGTGATTAATGCATTTAATATTTCCACCAGCAGCTCAGAAGAGTTTCTGCTCTTTTTTTTTTTTTTTTCTTTTATTATTCTTCGTGCATACAAGGCTTGGGTCATTTCTCTCCTGCCTCCCCCCTCCTTCTCCCCCCACCCCTCAATACCCAGCAGAAACTATTTTGCCCTTATTTCTAATTTTGTTGTAGAGAGAGTATAAGCAATAATAGGAAGGAACAAGGGTTTTTGCTGGTTGAGATAAGGATAGCTATACAGGGAGATGACTCACATTAATTTCCTGTGCGTGTGTGTTACCTTCTAGGTTGAGTTTCTGCTCTTCATCCTTGGTAGCACTTGTTACCAGGCTTAATTTTTGTCAGTCCAATTGTATGAAATTCTGTCTCATTTTTTTTTCCTGACTAGTGATTTGATTGTCTTTTCCTAATTCTGTTGACCTTTTGATTTCTTCTTTTGAGAATTGTCTATTTGTATTCTGTCACTATTTTTGTTGGATCATTTGTCTTACTGATTTGTAATTCCTTACCTAGTCTAAAGTGGTCTTGGTTAGCCAAGGGTTTTGTTTATCTTCTCTCAGTGTATGGCTGTCTTTCTATTTTGTTTCGTAATGTTTTTATCATGTAGAAACTTTGAGTTTTGATGTAAATTTCTATCTTGTTACTTTCATATGATTTACTTAACCACTTTCAAAATTCATTTCCTTCTAGAATCTTTGTTAGGTCTTAATCTACCTGGCTAATTTTTATGTATGAGATACAGGTGTTAAATATTTTCTCATTGTCTTCTGAGCAACAGGTATTAACTCATCCTTCCTTCCTTAGTTATAATAAGCCCTCCCTGCTGTGTGCTGTATAACATTTTTGTTCATGTTGATCAGTCTGTCTTTCTGTACTAATACCTACTCTTAGTGCTTGTTATCTGCTTGCTATGTCTGGTAAGACAAATTTTCCCTGTTAGCTGGGTACAGTGGTGCATGCTTGTAGTCAAAGCTTACTCAGAGGCTGAGGTAGGAGAATCATGTGATCCAGGAGTCTGATACCAGCCTGGGCAACAATTTTGAAATCCTGTCCAAAAAAATAATAATAATCTTCCCTTTTCATTTAGTCTTCAAAATTAACCTTGATTTCATTTTAATTCTTTGATCTGTTTATCTTATTTCTAGTGGCTATTTTGTTTATGAAAATTCAGTTTGGTTTTCTCATGCTCAGTTTTGTCTTGTATTTTGTTCAAATTATCTTGACCTTTTTTAAGGCTTCAAATCGTTTTTCTTGTCATCCTATACATGCTTATTTTTGTTTTGTATTTTCATTTCATTACCTTTTAAATTCTGCTATTACTAGTTTCACACATAGAAAATTGTTTCCACAAGTCATGATATATTACAAACTCATTTTTTTAACTGTCCTTCTTAAACTTTTGCAGAAATTATTTCAAATTTATAGGAAAGTAACAAAAGTAAAAATTGTACAAAGAGTATCTGTCTACCCTTTAACGAGATGTATTTTTATTAATAATTTGCACAGTTTGCTTTA